CAAACATTCAAACATTCAAACAAACATTCAAACATTCATAACTTAGGATGGGGCTGGATAGTTCAACAGCCCCAGGCCTGCCAGAACAGCCAGGTTTTAAGGGCTTTGCGGAAGGCCGGAAGGGTAGTAAGGGTCCGGATCTCCACGGGGAGATCGTTCCAGAGGGCCGGAGCAGCCACAGAGAAGGCTCTCCCCCGGGGGGTCGCCAGCCGACATTGGCCGGCAGATGGAATCCGGAGGAGGCCTAGTCTGTGGGACCTTATGGGTCTTTGGGAGGTAACTGGCAGGAGGCAGTCTCTCTAGGGTTGATCAAGAGCCTAACAGATGTTTTGCCCCTTTGGGAAAAGGTGACTCTGTCTTTTAAAAAATAGCATTATTAAAGATAATCGCCCTGAGTCCTTGGGAGAAGGCCGGCATATAAATCTAATAATAATTCTCAATACTGAGAATTAATGCAAGTAGAAAGAGGAGTCAAAAGTTCAAAGGAAAAGAGAAGTAGAGGAAAGATACAAAAAGAGAGGTAAGAATTTAGTAAGTAAAAAGAAATCTATATAAAGAGTGACAATATGTGCAAACGATTTTAGTAAGTTTACACCTACATCCATAGCCAATTATCTTTTCATCCCAGGTCCATCTCTTACGTACAGACAAATCCATAAAGCACCATCACTTCAGTCCTGGCGTCATCAAACGTCCCTTAAGCGTTGCCTGAAACAACAATATATCTATTTTAACTTTGATCAAATAACCATCTTAATATTCCTTCCTTTAACTTCCCCCCAAAAATGTTTTTAATCCAGTCAAGTAATGTAGATTTTTTTAAAATTTTCTTCTCTCGAGACTAATCCAAGTTTTAATGAACTGCTTTTGTAAATTCAATATAAAATAATTGTCCAGGTCACTCTCTCTGTTTATTAATTAATTATCTTGATTTTTTAAAGCATCAACTGATCTCTTCATTATTGCAGCCTGTCATTTTGTAAGCTCCACTTTTGGTGTCAGTTCTGCAATGTTTTGTGGGATAATACTTGTTCCTCTTCTTCTGTTATTTCTTCCGAAACAATCTTTGTACATAATCTATCCAAAGAAGGGAGCACCACTGTTGACATTGTTGATTTTAAATTCCGATTCCATTGTTCAAAAGCTCCCTTGGTATTTCCAATGTTAGAACATTTTTGTGTCACTCCTATAGCTGTTAAATCAGGTTTGCCTATTTTTCTGTTTCAATTAAAAAAAACCTAGTGTCCAAATTTTTAAAACTGTTTTATCTCTTTTTAGGAAGAAAAACAAACAAACCCCAAACCGGTTGACATAGCTACCGGAGAGATTCTTTATAATTAATAGCGAAATTTTGTTTCAAATTTACCTGGACACTTACATCTTTTTATTTATTTTTTTCAAAAAGGTTGTGGTTGGCCGACTCTAGGGGGCGCTGTTCACCTCCGATTCACAGTGGTTAGCATAGCTACATGCCATAGAAAAGCTGTTTATAGTTTTCTAAAAGTCTTTTAGTTAGCTTTTTTAAATTAATGAATTAGATTAATTAATTGATCTCCATTTGGTTCCTCCCTCTCTGGAAGTCCTCTGGAAGAGATCTCCTTGCCCATCGTCCTGCAAAAGCTGGGCATGACTCAGGAGCAGGTAAGGGGGGGGTGCCAGGTGCGGGGAATCGGTCTTGATTTGAGCTCCAGTATTTGCCCCCCATCCTTGTCTGGGTCTGAAAGCCGAGCAGAACTGGGGCTCCTTAGCCGTTCACGAGAGTCAGAAACACCCCTGGCCCCTCCAGGCACCGGCCACAGTTTAATCTGGGTTAGTTTGTCTCCCAGAATTGTGGGTGCTTCGTCAGTGGAGGTTTTCAAAACTAGACCAGGCAACCATTTGCCTGGGATGGTAGAAGGCCTCCTGCCTTGGATGGGAGGGCTGGACTAGAAGACCTCCGAGGTCCCTTCCAGGATTCTAGGATTCTATGGAACTCAAAGAGGGCCAAAGTCCTTCTGAAGGAATGCTGGGGAACCCCAATGGAGGGGCCCCCCGTTGCCTGCTTCCCCTTGTGCCCCAGCAACACCAGAGAGAGAAAGGGAGACAGAGAGAGAGACAGAGAGAAAGAGTGAGGGAGAGAGAGAGAGAGAGAGACAGAAAC